GATAAACCCCAGTGTGGGTATAGAATACATGTGTGTATACATATACATATATACACAAACGTGTGTGTGTATATATATGTGTGTGTGTTTGTCACATTCTTTGTAAGGTTCTCAGGAGAACCATGAAGAAAGGACAAGCACACACACATACCACATTAGTGGTATGAAGCTCACATCCTGGTGATTCACACACATGGAAAGCCTGTTGAGTAGATAGAAAGATTAATGCAGAACAGGATAAGGTCCATCTGGGAATGCTTTCTGGATAAAGGGAACTTTGATCTGGGTTTATAACCATATCTTTAGAACTGTGAGGAGCCCCTGCTTCCTCTCAGATGTGATTTCACAGATGACAGAAGGAAGGGGGCCTGTGGGTGGGAAAGAAATGAACAGAATGGACCCTGCAAGACCCTGGGAATCACGGAGTTGTTGGAGAGGGTTCTGTAACCCATGGATGGATCTGAATTTACAGAAGCTTCTTAACTTATGAATACTAAAGTAACAAAATGCAAAGCTTTGCAGAAGTCATTGGTGTTAAAGTGTGGTCCTCAGACTCGGACAGTTTTAGAATTACTGAGGCAGTGTGAATAACCTGGGGGTGAGCCAGAGAGCCTGGCAGAAAGGAAGACTATAAATGAATCACAAGTGCTCTGGGAGGAAAGCCGGGAGGAATCATGAAGGTTGGACTGAAGGGAGAAATGTCTCTGCCCTGTGGGATAGAGCTGGGAAGAGCGGAGAATGTGGTGTATCAGCAGCAGGAGATCTGAGCAGGCACACGCAGCTTTGGAAGCCAATCAATTTGTGGTGAGCAGAAGAGCTTACCCGAGGACCACATGGAACTAAATGAGAGCTGTTGCATCCTCTGAGGCAGGCTTCTCAGGCTTTCCATGTGCACGAATCACCTGGGCATTTTGTTAGCATGCAGATTCTGACAGTGTATATCTAACAACTTCCCAGGTGATGCCACACTGTTGGTCCACGTAGGGACTATATATGGTTTTGGTAATAATAACACTAGCAGGTGGGTCCCCGGGGAAGTTTCTAGGGCTTCCTTGGAGGTAATAGCATGTCTTCTGACACCTGTCCCTTTTGGTTATCCCCACAGCCCACATTTCTCTAGACCCTCAGACTTCCCACCCCAAGCTCCTCTTGTCTGAGGACCGCCAGCGGGCTCAGTTCTCCTACAAATGGCAGAACTCACCAGACAACCCCCAGCGTTTTGACCGGGCCACCTGTGTTCTGGCACACGCTGGCATCACAGAGGGGAGACACACGTGGGTGGTGAGTGTAGATCTGGCCCACGGGGGCAGCTGCACGGTGGGCGTGGTGAGCGAGGATGTTCAGCGGAAGGGGGAGCTTCGGCTGCGGCCAGAGGAGGGGGTGTGGGCTGTGAGGCTGGCCTGGGGCTTCATCTCCGCTCTGGGCTCCTTCCCCACACGGCTGGCTCTGAAGGAGCAGCCCCGGCAGGTGCGGGTGTCTCTTGACTATGAGGTGGGCTGGGTGACCTTCACCAATGCTGTCACCCGAGAGCCCATCTACACCTTCACTGCCTCCTTCACTAGGAAGGTCATTCCCTTCTTTGGGCTCTGGGGCCGAGGCTCCAGTTTCTCCCTGAGCTCCTGAGAAGGTGCAGTTACCTACCCTCTTCTAAGTACAGGACCCAAATCAACTCAAGAACCATGTGGACTTAATCCCTGGCTGGGTCACCTGGAAGACTTGAATAGAAACTACTGTTTTAGAAGATGGATGGGGCCGGTTGGTAAGGGACAGAGGAGAGGGCACTCAATCTACTGATCAAGACATTTCCCCAATGCCCAGTGGATGGCCAGGGTACCTGGGGACTCAGGCTGCTGCCAGCTCTCCTCACCACCATCGTTGCCAAACACACAAGTAGCTGCATAGAAAGAGCACTGGATTTGGAGTCAGAAGACCTGGGTTCTTAAACCAGCCTTGTAACCAGTTGTATGACTTTAAGCAAGATATCATCTCTTTTCATCATGCTTTCTTCCAATGATATTAGGGTTCATGTAATCACATTCTCTAGAAACATTTATTTTGTGTTAACCATGAACCAAGCAGTGTGGTAGCCACTGGTGATTTGAAAATATATATAAACACAAAACCTTTTCTATATCTGAAAGAGCTCTTGGGAAGGCAGAGAAACATAAAGAGGAAATTACAGCACAGTGTGGTGAGTGCTATGGGAGGTCCAACCTCAGCATCATGGAAGCTCAGAGGAAGGGGCATAGCTCAGCCTAGAGGGAGAGGGTGAGTGGGGGATTGCTTTCTGAAAGGGGTAGTCTAAAGGATGCCTATGGTCAATAAGGAAAAGAGGGGAAGAAGCATCTTAAGAAGAGGAAACAGCAGAGAACTGGCTGGATGACCTGTGACCCATGGAGCAATGGGTCATCTCCATTGTCCTCATGGGCAGATGTGTGCCATCCCCAGCCGATAACACTCACTGCCTCCTTCCTCCTGGTGGTGCCCCTTCTGGCTGAGGTGAAGGTGCAGGACCTGGGGGCAGGGGGACATAAGGAATAGCTATAAATCATAACTCAAGGACCACACTCCACTCCTGGGGAAATTGTCTTCCTGATTAGTTGATTACCAATGAGGCCAAGAAATGAGATAGTGGAAGCAAATGGGTCACAAATAGCTCAGCTGTGGGCTCAGAAATTGCTAGGTAAAAGAATTCCAGAAGGAAGCCAGGGCATAAGTTGGATGACCTGTGACCTTCAGCCTAAAGAGTGGAGACTACTGTAATGGAGGCTACTGTAGTGACATCTGAGAAATGGGATGGAAGAGTGACCATGTTTTATTTTCTAGTTCTTGTCAGTATTGTATTTTCTTTTGCATAATCATGCCCTTCACTGACAGTCTTTTTAACATCGTCTCTGTTTTCTCTGCTCAGGTGTAAACTACACAACTCTATCATCTCCCTACTAGGTCTCCTGGGAGGAGGGGCGCCACCAGGGTACAATCTCAAAGGCAGAGGGCACAGTGTGCTTAAGCTCAACTTTAGAACTCAATTGAGAAGTTCCACTGTTCATCCTTAGCTCAGCAGGTAGAAAAGATATGATCAGAAGCCAGGGATTAGAGATTGAATTGCTTTCCCTGGGAGTGTGCAGCATCTCATTTAAATGTTGCATATTCAAAAAATTTAGACACACACAAGTGCCTATATAAGGATAAAACACAGCCAAAGCACCCAAACCTGTGATTCCACTAAAAGGTAGATCCTATTTTTCTGTGTATTTTTGTTGGCTTTAGCTGTGTCTTTTAAATGGACTATTATCCACTAAAATGTATGTGTATAAAGACCCTGGCTTGCTGCTGGGGAGCTTTACACACCTTGTGTCTCTCTATCTTGGTAGCTAGCCAAGATCATGCACCCAGTTAATCCGTGTCTGACCCAAGGGCTCTTAACCGCTATGCTGCACTGCCTCATTCAGAGATAATGCCTGCATGGGTCTTAGTGATTAAATGCTGGCTACACCACAAGTGACTTGGATTCAGAAATACAATTTATATTTCTTTTTAAATTCTCTTCTTTTTCTTTTAATAGTTACATGTCAGTGAAAACAATTTCTATGTCTCACACTGAGGAATAAAACTGCTCATAAGTGGAAACACTCATGTTGGTCTGTCAGCAGCTGCTTCTCCCTGAGGGTAATTTTACTTGAAGTTTACTTGCTTTTGGAGTATGCAGTCAGCACAGGAGAAGTGGATACATCCTAAAACCTGGAAACTTCAAGATAAGGTAGCTTAACGAAGCTCCTTGCTCTGCTGGCCAGAAGTGGAGCTCTGTGTTCCCTCCCCAGGAAGTGCTCAAGTCTAGAGGCCCCCAAGTCCCAGCTGCCCTTTCCGACTCTGGACTATTGCACACTTGTAACATCCACAGTTTACACTTCATTTTTCACAGCTTCCATGGTAGCAACACTTTCTATTGCAAAGAAGTGACCCACTCAAGTTAATTCAAATAATAGGTAAGTTTATTGTAAGAACAGGCACAGAAATAAGGAAAATGGGATTTTCCACCACAAGCCAGCCCTCGTGAGAAGCTGTGTCGGGGTGAGTGAGTTGGTGGGGTCACCATTCCTTCCTAGAGATTCAAAAAAAGAACTAGAGATTCAAAAAATGTTGATAACAATAACATACATAGAGCTCATTGTGGCCAAACCCCAGAATAAATATTCGTTTATATTATCTCGTTTAATTCTCACAACCAGCCTGGGAGGCAGGCGCTGTTATTAATATCCCCATTTTGTACTTAAGAGAACTGAGATGTGAAGGTCGAGCCGCTGGTCTCAAATCAGCTGATAGTAAGTAGCAGAGCCAGCATTTGAATTCTGGTGCTTCGGCTCCTGAGTCTGTGCTCATGACCATTATGCAGTGGTATGTTGTCTACTGGTAAGAAGGGGGCTCGAGGTCCAAGGCAGTGTGAAGACTGGATCTTCCTGCGGCCTCTCAGCAGCATGGGTGGTGGACACCTGCTCCAATACATGGTGGCTACGCATGCAGCTCTGATTCTCTGTGTCTGCTCTTCTTGTCAACTGATGACACATTATCATGGATCCCTTCTGAATCTCCAAGAGGACCTGATGCTTTCAGTTAATTACTATTGTCCCTCACTGATAAGGCCTTTCTTGACAGCTGACCTCATAGACTCGAATGGCCAATCATCTGCTGTTGAGACACTCACCCCTGGCCCGATCATCTGTGGTCATGTCAGAAGGAGCCATAGGGGGCCTGGCAGGCGTCTTCAGTATAACAAACTTCTCTCTTGTGGAGGGACCCTGTGGGCTGACATTCTCCTCCGACTCCTGGTACAAGTTCTCTTGGTGACATTAGCTTCAGCTGGGATGCAGGAACTGCTAGCTGTCACTTCAGGGGTGTTCTTTCCCAAGGTTACAGAGGAATTAGTTGTCAGGACCGAGACCTAAACTCAAGTCTGACTCTGTAGTTTTTACTCTTTGCACCACCACATGGCTTGTTTTATTCTTGTGGCCATGTTTTATTCCTTATACCTCACAGTATGGTATTGACTACTTCATCGAGGGCTCAATAAATACTAATTAAATGGTCATTGATGGCTCCTTTTAAACAGAGGATTAAGAAGGGCCCCTTTGCTTTCTAATTAATTCATTTATACATACATTTAAACTTTTATTGAACACCAACTGTGAGCCAGGCACTGTTCTAGACACGAGGACACAGACAGTATGGTCCCTGCTCACCCAAAGAAGTGAGGCTTATGCAGAAATGACTAATGTATAGTTGTATTCATTATCCATTGCTCCACAAAAATTACCACAAATTTATTGCCTTAAAACCACACACATTTTTTGTCTCACAGTTTCTGTGGGTCTGAAATTTTGGTACAGCTTTGCTGGGTCCTCAGCTTAGGGACTCACGAGACTGTCATCAAGGCGTTGGCTGAAATGGGTTCTCATCTGGCTCATCTGGGGAAGAATCTGCTTCCAAGTTCACTTGGGTTGTTGGCAGAATTCAAGTTCTTGCAGCCACAAGACTGAGGGCCTCTGCTTCTTGTTGGCTGGAGGCTGCTCCTGGCTCCTAGAAGGGGCCCTAAGTGAGTTGGCCAACGAGGAGGAGTCCTATACAATGAACGCAGTTGCCAGAGTGACACCCTATCACCTTTGCCATATTGCATTGATTAGAAACAAGTCACAGATCCTGTTCACATTCAAGGAAAGGGTACCAAACAAGGGCATTAATACCAAGAGGTGAGGATCACCAAGGGGGGCTGTCTTTGAGTCTATCTTCCACAACAATAATGAGTAAATGCCAGGCAAGTGGTACAGACAACAAGTACTGCAGGAGCTCAGCTGGGCTCCATATGTGAGGTGGGGTCACCACTGGTGAGCTCGGGCCATCCAGATCCTTGGAGGATCCTATTTTAATGAGATTGCGAGAGAAGGGCACTACCATCAGTTCACAGGCAAATGGAGATCTCACAAATAGTCCTGGAGACCATGGACCCTGACCTCTGCAGTGGCAGCCACAAGCATGAGCCTGTCCTGGAAGGAGGCTGGCTATCATCCAAGAGTCCGAGTGTCAGGCATCAGGTGATGACTGTGGGCATGAGGAAACGGGGACATGTTCAGGAGCTGGCAGGCCTGAAGATGCACCGGGTAGATCTAACGGTGGTCTGGACAGGTTGGAGGGGGGAGAAAGAGGAGGCTGAGGTGAGCCTGAAGTGAGGTGTCCCAGAGATGAACAGGTCAGAGCTTCTGAGGATGGCTGAAGAAGCAATTCATTGACTCTTTTCCCCAGCTGGGGATAAATAACCTCTAATTTCTGTGGAGCACTCCTAGAAACAAAGAAATCCTTCATAGATTAATATATATTCATATATTCAATTGGCCATGTAGGATGAAGGTACAAAAACCTTCATGCAGTGGGTCTCCTTGACCTTGATGAACCCCTGTGCATGTCTATGTTGTGTGGGTTTATACGCACATGTGGGAAAGAAGGGACAGCTCATACCTGTTGAGTAAGTCACCAGCATTCTAGGAGAGAAAAGGTGAGAATCATAATCAGTTCTCAGATTCCATTCACCTCCAAATTCCTTTCCCAATTCACTCTTAGAGGCCACTCTGGGGTCACCTTGAGAACTGGGGGAACATAGCAACACCCCTCTTCTGTACCCATTCTGCTGCAGCAGCACTCTGTAGACCGGAACAAGCATTGTCTACCACAAATCACCACATATCACATGGGCCCCTCCCTCTTACACCTCCCAGAAGGGTGATGCAGATGGGGTGCCTACTATCCAGGAGAATCCCAGCCCTTGGGGAGGCCTCAGGGTATGCACCTTCAGGGTGTTGGTGTCTAACTCCTTGGCCATCCTCTCCAGATCAATGACCAGGCTGCTGAGCTGAGTTACTGCTTTAGAGATTCTGGCCACTTCTGCTGGCATGTGCTCCAGCTGGCCCGGCTGCTGCTGAGGGAGGGCATCCAGCTGTTCCCTGGTTTGGTGCTGGCTCTCCAGCCTGTGGTTCCCATAGTCTACCTGAAACTACAGGAAAGGGGCTCCCTAAGACTCAATGTCAGGTGGCTCCCTCACAGTCTCTGAGTATCTGAGCAGGAATGCTGATTCCTCAAACCTCTTCCCCTTATAGTGTTTCTGCTATGTGTCACAGGTACTGCAGAGGCAACTGTGGTTCTCATAAAGGCAGGGACACCTCCCCTTTCTGCCTCACACTGAACATCTACGGATGCCATGTGACAGGATGGAAAGGTAGACTGTCAGAGACAGAAACAGAGGCCTATGGCTTGTGTAGTAATTTTCAGTGGATGAGATACTGGTCTCCTTTGATCCTTACTGTGAGCCGGGTAGAGCAGGACTTGTTATCATTTAACATGTAAATCACATAAAGATCAGAGGGCTTAGATGGCCTGGCATGGTGGCTCACGCCTGTAATCCCAGCACTTCGGGAGGTTGAGGCAGGTGGATCACGAAGTCAGGAGTTCAAGACAAGCCTGGCCAAGATGGTGAAACCCCATTTCTACTAAAAATACAAAAATCAGGCAGTGCGGTGGCAGGTGCCTGTAATCCCAGCTACTCAGGAGGCTGAGGCAGGAGAATTGCTTGAACCCAGGAGGCAGAGGTTGCAGTGAGCCAAGATCACACTACTGCACTCCAGCCTGGGTGACAGAGTGAGACTCTAAGACTCTGTCTCAAAAAAAAAAAAAAAAAGATCAGAGGGCTTAACCTGCCTAGGCCACTTACTCAGCAAATCTTGATGCCAAGACCAACACCCAGGATTCAGCCTCCATGACCATCTGCCCACATCAGGCTGTTCCAGGGACAGACAGATGTGCAGAACAGTAAGTAAGGGCCCCTGAGAACACTCCAGGTAGTCCTTCCCAGGAATCTGAAAAACCCACCTGCAGAGCCTGCAGTTTTTCCTCCTCCTGAGCCTTGAGCCGCTGAAGTTCTGCGATGTCTTTTCTGAGCTTCCTGCTCCTGCGGTTGAGTCGTTCCTAAGGAGACAGACACCTGCTTGTCAGACAGGGAGTGAGGGGGGCAACCCCTGGGGAGAGTCAATGGAACACAGAAGGGAGCCTGATCCCAGGATCATGGTTGGAGTAAGGAACTTGAGAGTTTATTTATTGGATAATGGTGGGGATAAAAGTAATGAGCATTTTTCTTTTACAGGCTTATTACTACAGAAAAATAACAGCTAGCAACAGAACCATTTCTACTTGACTTCAAGGTGTTTTCTCTTTTTTTTTTTGAAGAAAAGAAAGAGAAAAAAAGGAGTAAAGGAGAGGAAGAAAGAGGAAGAAAAAGAGGGAGAGAGAACGGGAATATTGCTTTATTCTAAAAATGGGTATTAATAATGGCCGATCAATATTTTGTGTATTTAAAGTGGAGAATGTATATTTTGTGTATTTAAAGTGGAGAGCTCTATAAATATTTATTAAGTTTACTTGTTCTGGATCTGAGTTCAAGTCCTGGTTGTCCTCATCAATTTTCTGTCTCATTGAGTCTAAATCTCTTTATGGGTCTTATGAATCTGGGTGTTAGGATCATTAGCTCTTATTGTTGCATTGATCCTTTTACCACTATATCTTTGTTGCTTTGAAATCTATTTTATCAGATGCGAGAATTGCAACTCCTGCTTTTTATTTATTTATTTATTTTTGCTCTCCATTTGGTTGGTAAGTCTTTCTCCATCCCTTTGTTTTGAGTCTTTGTGTATCTTTGGATGTGAAATGGGTCTGGATGCAGCATACTGTTAGGTTTTGGCTGTGTCTTTTGATTGGGGGATTTAGTTGGCTTAAATTTAGGGTTACTGCCATTTGATGTTAACTATTTTATCCATTCCAACTTTTGAAAAAAGGTTTGATGAAATGCTAACAAGAATAGACAATATAGAGAGGAATATAAATGAACTAATGGAGTTGAAAAACACAACATGACAACTTAGCAAAATATGCATAAGTTTGAATAGCCAAATTGATCAAGCAGAAGAAAGGATATCAGAGGTCGAAGACCAACTTAATGAAATAAAATGAGAAGACAAGAATAGAGAAAAAAGGATAAAAAGAAATGAGCAAAGTCTCCAAGAAATATGGGACTATGTGAAAAGACCTAATTACGTTTGATAGGTGTACCTGAATGTGACGGAGAGAATGAATCCAAGCTGGAAAATACTCTTCAGGATATTATTCAGGAAAACTTTACCAATCTAGCAAAGCAGGGCAATATTCAACCCCTGGTAATACAGAGAACACCACAAAGATATTCCTCAAGAAGAGCAACCCCAAGGCACATAATCGTCAGATTCACCAGGGTTGAAATGAAGGAGAAAATACTAAGGGCAGCCAGAGAGAAAGGTCAGGTTACCCACAAAGGGAAGCCTATTAGACTTACAGCAGATCTCTCAGCAGAAACCCTACAAGCCGGAAGAGAGTGGGGGTCAATATTCAAAATCCTTAAAGAAAAGAACTTACAGCCCAGAATTTCATATCCTGCCAAACTAAGCTTCACAATTGAAGGAAAAATAAAATATTTTATGAACAAGCAAGTATTCAGAGATTTTATTACCACCAGGCCTGCTTTGCAAAAGCTTCTGAAAGAAGCATTATACATAGAAAGGAACAACCAGTATTAGCCTTTCTAAAAATATAAGTAGAGAGCATCAACATAAAGAAGAATTTATATAAACGAATGGATAAAATAGTTAACATCAAGGTGCTTTCTCTCAACATATGAAAGTTATATGACAGTCTTCTAGCACTTCTTACTATTTTACATTAACAAGTGAAGCCAGTAGGGAGAGAATTGCCTTAAAGAGGAGATGGTGGCTGGGTGTGGTGGCTCATGCCTGTGATTCCAGGACTTTGGGAGGCTGAGGCAGATGGATCATGAAGTCAAGAGTCAAGACCAGAGTCTGGCCAAGATGGTGAAGCCCCGTCTTTACTAAAAATGCAAAAAAAAAAAATATATATATATATATATAGTAGTAGTATCCCAGCTACTTTGGAGGCTGAGGCAGGGTAATTGTTTGAACCAGGGAGGCAGAGGTTGCAGTGAGCCAGGATTGTGCCATTGCACTCCACACTCCAGACTGGGGAACAAGAGCAAAACTCTGTCTCAAAAAAAAGATGAGATAGCAAGCCTCTGCTACGACTGCTCCCTGGTCCTCACTAGGATGAATGACCCTTTATTAGGTGTAAGTGCCTTCTCCCTCAATCTTAAATCAGTATCTGGATAGGTCACTGTATCCTTGAAGCTATGAAGATAATGAATGATTTGAGTTTTTTAAAAATTTTGCAGATCACGAGGTCAAGAGATCAAGACCATCCTGGTCAACATGGTGAAACCCCGTCTCTACTAAAAATACAAAAAATTAGCTGGGCATGGTGGTGCGTGCCTGTAATTCCAGCTACTCAGGAGGCTGAGGCAGGAGAATTGCCTTAACCCAGGAGGCGGAGGTTGTGGTGAGCTGAGATCGTGCCATTGCACTTCAGTGCTTTTGAAACTCCGTCTCAAAAAAATAAAAATAAAAATAAAGAAAACCTTTGCTTTCAGGTTTTTGATGACCTATAAGAGAAGCAAAAATAACAAATGCTTTAAATGGCTGCCCATGGTTCAGGGAGGTGGTTGGAGGGTGTATGATAAAATGGAAAACAAAACGAGAAACAGATTTGTGAACTAAAGAGCAGGATGCACTATTAGCTGGAAAGTGTGTGCTTCATTCAATCTTTCCCACTTTGGATTTTTTAAAAGAATCTTTTTTGAGAAGATTTTGTTGATGGACGGGTAGAAGTCGGGGGATGGAGAAAACAACTGAAAGTTCTTCCTGGCCCGAAACTTTGCTGGTGAAATCAAGGTCAAAGGACTGTGTGTACGACAGGTAAGCAAGGGCATTTGGCAAACAAAAAGCTGCAGTAAGCAGAGAAGACAGTGATGTCACCACGAAGTTACTAAAAATGTGTCACATCACTGGGTGTTACCTGCAGGCATTTCTCAGCAGAGGGGGAATAAAAAGTGATAGGAGTGGGGGGTAATAAATGGGCAACATGGATGTCGCTCACGGGTCTCGCTGAAGAAGGTGGCGGGCTGGGTGCCTGTGGAATTGTTTGAGTTCGCACAAGAGGTCAGGTCCTGAAAAGCACAGTCTCCACCCCTTGCATCTACTCTCTTTCTGCCCTCACAGTCGAGTCTTCTGGTCTTGCTCTGTTCACGTCCTCCCTGCCATCATTCCTCAGCCAGCCACCTTGTTTCTCATCACTCCTTTCAAGCATCTCTCTCCAAGGTCACCTGGGATCTCCAGCCACGAAATCTGCAGGTGCCTTTTTGGACCACCTCTCCACCCCCATCCTTCCTAGACCTGTGCCTTCTATCACTGCTTCTTCGCCTCTTCATTTTTCCTGTAAAAAGAAGCCTTGAAATTGGCTCCTCAACCCTTTTGTATCTCAAACTATGTCCTTAGCATTCCTTTCTGGAGGCTTCAGATCTTATAATTCCACAACCAAATCTTTCTTCCCAGCAGTCCATCTCATGCTTCCAACTGAGAGCTAAGTATTGCCTACTGCCCTGTTGGCAGCTCAGAATCGATGCTGTCAAATCAAACATGCTGCCCCCTTCCCCACCCTCTTCTGCAGTCCACTCTTTCTGACCTTCATATTTCTGGCATTGGAACTGCCATTCTGCCTGACATTCAGCTTAAAATCTGTCATATGGGGCTGGGCGCGGTGGCTCAAGCCTGTAATCCCAGCACTTTGGGAGGCCGAGGAGGGTGGATCACGAGGTCAAGAGATCGAGACCATCCCGGTCAACATGGTGAAACCCCGTCTCTACTAAAAATACAAAAAATTAGCTGGGCATGGTGGTGCGTGCCTGTAGTCCCAGCTACTCGGGAGGCTGAGGCAGGAGAATTGCCTGAACCCAGGAGGCGGAGGTTGCAGTGAGCCGAGATCGCGCCATTGCACTCCAGCCTGGGTAACAAGAGCGAAACTCCGTCTCAAAAAAAAAAAAAAAATCTGTCATTTTTCACCTTTGTTGATGTTACTCCTCCCTTCAAAATGGCTTCTCATTAACAAAGATAAACCCAAACTCCTTCACCCAGCATCCAAGGCACCTGTGACCCAGCGCCAGTGGACATTGTCCGGGATTCTGTCTCTTCTCCCTCCGTGCTCTCTTCGGCAGCACACAACATTGCATTCCGCTTCCTGAACACACGCGTGCAGCCACGCCTCCTCATGGCCTTTTACTTCCCTCTGCCAGAAAGCTTTATGTTTCTGCCTGTCAAATTCAGATCTGTTAAGGTCCAGCTCAAAAAGCCACAGTCCTATTATCTGGCAGTTTAAAATTTAATTAAGTTGACTACAGGCACTGCGTAAATGAAAAAAGAAGGCAAAGATAACGGCAATAAAGATAAAAGCATAGAACAACTGAAGATAATACATTCATAACATTTACAATATTCAAAATGAGTAAGGTAAAGTCCTCCGTTTCTAAAAAATGCTTTTCCACCAATTTTTGCATTAAAATATTTGATGGGTGCATAGCATATAAGTAAGTCACTCATTAGAATTGAAAAACCAAATTCTGTACACTTCCACCTACTAAAATATTCCTTAGCGAAAGAAAGACAAACTGAAATCTAGAAAACAGCCGAAGGCCTGTCTTATCTCAATGAGTATTTTAAAATTCTGTCAGACATTCAGATTAAATCATTAAATTTTAAAAATCTGTCCAAAAAAGGGCATTAAACAGACAAGAAGTACCTATCCCTGACATTAAAAAAAAAAAAGAAAAATTAACAGCTTTCAAAATGCATGCTCCTTATAGAACTGTGTCCCAAAATATGGATTTAAAATATCACTCACATGATTATGATCTAGAAAATGTTAGAAAAGTTTTAAAAAATGTATGAGTAAATACATGAGCTCAGCAAAGAACCTCATTTGAATCTTCAAATACAAATTGTCAAAACAATAATGTTATAAAATATATAGTTACCCTAAAT